ATATATTCTAAGCATCCCAGGTTTGAGTAATCAGGGCTAAAGGGAGACTGAGAGGCTAAGTGGTTAAGGCTGGAGAGGAGAGAGGGAGAAGAAGGGCCTGAACCTGATAGGCCTCCATGAGAAAGTTATGAGGCTTCGACAGGATCAGGTGGATGTACTTAGAAAGCCAGAGTAAACAAAAGCCGCAGAGGTTAGCAGGGTACGTCTGAAGGCAGATCTGTCCTGTCTAGGCTGAGATACACTTGGTTTCCTCAGTAAGAAGGAGTCACAGAGGACAGCATTTTGAACTGACAGGTAAAATAACAATAATAATAATAACAAGGGGCAATGTTAGAAAAGGGAGTGCTATTTTGGTGTCAGCAACCCTTGGGCATTAGTGTATCAGAGGTTTCCTGTAAAATAAATGGTAGAAACTTTCTACCATAGAGTTTTACAGTTCATCAGAGCTAGCCAGCTCTCAGAGGGATATGTGAGCCAAAAGGGCACAGACCTGCCCAACTTCCCAGCCACCAAACTCATCAGGCCTAGAAGGCAGGGGTCTCCCTTCCATGCCCCCCCTCCCATGTCCAGAGCTATGACCTCTGACTACCCTTAGGAAAATCACAGAGTGTGACAGTTAAAAACACAGGCCCTGCATCCAGCCTGCTGGGCTTGAACCTTCATTGTCTATACATATTACTTTGGAAATGTTTATGTGAGTCTTCTGCCACAGTTTACTATGTTATGAATTAAAGATTTTTAATGGGGATCAGAACTGTATCATGGAAGGATTTATTAAGCATGCCAAAAGGCATATTTTTAAATGCTGAGTGTGCAATATTTGTTATGTAATAGTGTTACCATTATATTGCTTTGTTCAAATATTAAAATGATACTTGAGTCCTGGAGATATAGCTCAGGGGTAGAGCACTTGCTTAGCATGCATGAGATTCTGCATGTTATCCTCAGAACTGTCCAATAAAGACAAGCTATCTGAATGAATAAAAACTGAATGAATAAGAATTGCCTTAAGGATGGCTATTTAGACAAATGCACTCTTAAGAAGGGGATCTCGAATAAAACCTCTAAACAGATTGAAATGTAGTTGAATCTCGAAATTGTGTGTTTTCAAAAATAATTGGTTTAAAATATGCATTTGTTATTTCATGAGACATTTGAAATAGGAATTCTGAGAAGAGACAGGGACTATCATTTTCCAAATATAACCCAGGCCATTTTATTGATTATTAAGTTATGAATACCTACTGCCCCTTACTGGAAAAGAGTGTTTTAATTTTTTTCAAGGTAAGGACTGCAATACTTCCCTAGTTCTTTGAGATTTATGCTATTCTCTTTTGCACTGATACCAATATGGAATGCAAGCATATAGTTGCTTGTACAGTCATTAATCTTGAAAAATGTCAAATTAGGTACCTTCAAACTATATCCTTAACAACAGAGTTCTCTTCCAGGTACTAGTGGCTCATGTCTAATCCTAGCTGCTTCAGGAAGCTGAGATCTGAGAATCACCATTCAAAGCCAGCCTAGGCACGACAGTCTATGCGGCTCTTAGTTCCAATTAGCCATCAAAAATCCGGAAATGGGAGTTATGGCTTAAGTGGTAGAGCCCTAGCTAGCTTTAAGTAGAAAAGTTCAGGGATAGCACCCAGGCCCTGAGTTTAAGCCTGTGATCTCTCCCTCTCTCCCTCTCCCCCTCTCCCTCTCCTTCTCCCTCCCTCCTTCTCTCTCTCTCTCTCTCTCCCCCTCTCTCTCCATCTCCCCCCTCTCTCTTTCCTTCTCCTCTCTCTTTCTTCCCCTCTCCTCCCTCTCTTTTTCTCTTTTCCTCTCAATTCCCATGTAATCCTGAGCATGCTTTGATCTGTAAAATGTGGTAGTATTGATATTTACCTCAAAAGTTGTTGTGAAATAATGTTTATCAGGTATACTGCAGAGTAACTTGCTCATGAAAGCAAGCAGATGTTAGCTTTCCTTTTACTGATGTTGGAATTGCTGTTCTGCTTTACTTTTCAAGTATTTCCTTTCTCAATTCAAATCTTTCCTTCTCCAGTATTTTCTTTACATCTGCTCTGTGTTAGGTTTTGTGTTAGAGCAAAACCAAGAATGGACAAAAACTAAAATATGGTTCTTACTTCCAAGGACCTACCAGAACCCTAGAGGCCATATTTAAAAAGAGAAGAGAAGAAAAGGAAAGGAAAGGAAAGAAGTGTACCATAAATCAAAATGTGATTCTGATCAGAAAAACAACAGCAATGAAAATGTTATGATTTTTTTAAAATCTATTTTTGAAATCTACATGCCAGGAGTCATTGGGAAATGGGAAATATGTTATTCGGGGTAGTTGAGTTTTCTGCCTAATTGAACATAAACTACTTACATAATATATTGTTTTTCTTATACATACTTTCCTGCTTTTTCTTTTGTCTTTTTTAGTTCTGTTACTGGGGTTTGAACTTAGGGTCTGAGCACTGTTCCTCAATTGTTTCACTCAATGCTGGTGCTCTACCACTTGAGCCACAGGTCCACCTTTGACTTTTTGCTGGTTAAATGGAGATAACTCTCCCATGGATTTGGCTTCAAGCCCTGATCCTCAGAGCTCAACCTCCTGAGTAGCTAGGCTTGAGCCAATCCTGCTCAGCTTTCTGCTTTCTTCAACAACAACAACAACAACAAAAATATGCATTTTGTGAATTTTTCTTGATCCTGCAGGGTCACTTTTGCAACTGTACTTACTGAGTTGTGTCATCACACCTGCATTCTTAGGGACTCAGGGGAACTCTCTTTATTCTTGTATTTTGTTTCTAACTTTTTCTGCTTCACTATTGTAAACTATCTGCCACATTCTTTACAGAAGACATTATTATAATAAGCAGAAAGAGGAGTGGAGATATATTTCAAGTGCAGAGTACGTGTCTAGCGTAGCAAGCCCTAGATGTGATCCCCAACATGGATCTGTGCCTATGGCCATCCACAGGACAGTCATTTATTATCCACATTTTAGAGTTTACATGGTTGTTCATGTCGATTTTTACTACTAGTTAGAGCTTTTTTACAATTTTGTTGTTTTGTTCATGCAGTGTGAAGGACTGAACAAAGGTTCTAAAACACATGTGTGACAAGTGATCTGATACTGAGCTATAATCATGGCCCTTGTATGTATTTTATTTTATTTTGAGGGCTAGGATTGAGGATTGACTGCAGGGCTTGGGTGTAGTTCCTTTGCTTTTTTGTTTAAGGCTGGTATACTACCACTTCAGCCACAGTTCCACTGATAGCTTTTTGGGGGTTAATTGGAGATAAGACTCTCATGGACTTTTCTGTCCAGGCTGGCTTCGAACCACAATCCTCAGATCTCAGCCTCCTCAGTAAGTAGGATTATAATCATAGTTCACATTTTTCTTCTTTTTGCTATTTCACTTTGACCAGAAGACAAATTTTAAAATAATTTAAACATACATAAAGGGTCACACAGGTATTTATAACTTGCACTTTAGCAACAAGTCCACTGATTTTCAACTCCCTCCTGTTCATTAATTGGTAGAATGTGAAAATCTGATGTCTGCCCACATTCAAAAGTAAGATTAAATTGAATTTCACTTTTAATTTAAAGATATGTGTTTTTAGATGCTTTTCTAATTATAGAAAAGTTTTCAAATTGTGGCCAGAAAAGCCATAACAAAGATTGACATTCCATTCTTCTATTTCCACCAATTTAAATTTATCATTACACTGGATAGCTGCTTTTCTAAACTCATAGAAACATCTATCTCTCTTGTTCTCTTCTAGCTACAATTTTCTCACATGTCCCAAGCTACTGTAATACAGTAGAACAGTATTTACCTAAATAGTTTTTTGTGTTCCTATCATATAGTGTTCCACGCCTGGCTAATTTGCCCTCATCATTTTCTTTTTTCCTTGGTCCTGTAAACTACACTGTAAACTTTGTGTTCAGTCTTATTCATTTTACGTGTCCATTGCCAATTATGTTTCCTGACAAACAAAACATTTTTCTATATGTTTAAGTTGAGCAAATGGCTATATTTCTACAGATAGCTTGAAATGTGTTAGTAAATCTTCAATGATATAACTACACCTGAAAATATATTTCAAAATTGAAGGGGATAGTTAGTAGACTGTCCAAGTTTATCATTTATTTAACTGTTTATAGTATCAACAGATAAGATTCAGAGTTTAGCTTATTTTATTCTAGGGTAGAATTAGGGGGTGGAATTAGGGGGTGATCATTACAACAAATCACTTTGCTGATGATCTCCACAGATAATGTTCCAATTTGGACAATGTCTCACCTGAGCTCAACAGGATTCCCCTGTGATATGTAGAGATCAAAGTTGAAATAAACAAGTGAAGGTAAACTTGAGGAGCCAGCAACGAACAAAACCAACAGATATGATATTAATTTGTAGTGTTTCAATGTTTATTCCTTAGTCTATTACAGAATTCTAAACTCTGATTAAGAATTACCTCCCCCACCCCTCAACGCACCAATGTGAGTAACTAGAAATTTATTATGATTACTCTGAGGTTGAAATTTAAGATTTCCGAGCTCATTCCGGTTTTATAATTTGACTCCTTTGCTGCTGGAGGCAGAACAGGCATCTAATCAGTTGAGACATGTATAACATGGGTTTAATGTTAGACTTGGTGTCAGGCTTAATGAGGAAATGTTTATTTTCTTTTGGAAATCTGAAGAACACAGATGTTGGATAGTGAGAAAATAGCACATAATAACAATATTATTAATTTGGAAAGATGTATTTTGATAGGAGACTTGATTATTTAGTCATCTAAGTCTGTCTGACTTTGTGGCAAAGTGGGATTCATAGTGTTACCTAAAGAAATGTGCAAGTGTTAAAATGTACTCTACAGACCTGCATAAGTGTACAGATTCACTTGATGTTTTCTTGATAGACTATGGTTTGATTTAAACATTGAGTATCATAAATACAGAAATTATAATAGCTTCATTTTTTTGTCTTCTTAAGTTTCATAGAAACCCCAGCGCATTTCTCTTGGAAAGAAAGTTATTACCGATCCACCATGTCCCAGAGCACACAAACAAGTGAATTCCTCAGTCCAGAGGTTTTCCAGCATATCTGGGATTTTCTGGAACAGTAAGTATCAAAAGAGCAAGAAATATACCTAAAACTACTAATAATTGGTAAATGGAGGTCAAATATGGTCTAGAACCAGAAATTAGTTAATGTTGTTGGAGAAAATTCATTGCCTCCAATATTGTCTGTGTTCAAAATACAGTAGTTATTTGTTCACCATCCTCTACCAAACCATAATTGTTATTAAAAGCCGTATCATTTGGGGAACTCTAGAATGGACAAAGTTGAAATAATCTCCCTAGGGTTTCTCTGATAACTTAAATAAATCCATTCCTGGAACTTTGAAGACATACATCAAATTTTGGGGCATATGTTTTTTTTTATCTTTTTAGGAATTATTATTACCCTTTTATTAGATTTGGATATATTAAGGTGTTGGTGAAGAGAATATCATTGCCCTGAAAATCCTAAAGGATAGGTCGAAAAGACTGTACATTTAATCCATCCATTCTGTTCCAATTCTTATCCAGCAATTCAGATTGCTATCATGATTCCCTTTTAACCAGCGTGGCCCACACATGTGCAACTTGAAATTATCCATCTGAGAAAGGGGTTCAGCCAGGATCCAAATTTGGAGTTTCTGATTCTAAGCTACTAAGGAGTTTTGTCATCTTTGAAGCACAACATGTCCCTTTTTACCAATGGGGTGAATGTGTTTGACTTTGTGCCAGTGCCTCATAAATAATATACTTTCCTTGGGATTGTCAGGCCTATATGTTCAGTTCAACCCATTGACTTGAACTTTGTGGATGAGCCATCAGAAAATGGAGCAACAAACAAGATTGAAATTAGCATGGACTGTATCCGCATGCAAGACTCAGACCTCAGTGACCCCATGTGGGTGAGTAGAATGGGGGTCCTCTTTCATCTGTAGGCCATGCTATCCACCATTCTGCTATGTACTTAAAGGCATATACAAAGGCAATCGGCTCTGAAATGGCAAGTTTATTATATTTGCTGAGAAATGATTAGTAGTTGTCTATGGGTTCTAGAATGTCCTCAACTTCCTGTAATACATAGGCAAAGAGGAGGGAAATAACTCTTTATATCTCTATTCTGTATGCCAATCTCACTTCACTTGGGTTTACCAGGTGAAAGAGGGACAGAATCTGGACTTAATTCTACTCTACACAGAGAATGTTTCATAAGTAGCAAACCACCTCTCTCTGAAATTTCATTTACTGAATGAAGGAGGAAGAAGTATGCACATGCACAGGTTTAAGTACTTAGTAATAAAGAATGAAGGTTACCTGGTACATTAAAAAGACGTTTGGCTTTAGCACTGAGACATTAATTCCCTCATTCCTCAGGCACTGTCCCTCATCTCTTCAGCTCAAGGCTAGCACTCTACCACCTGAGCCACTGCACCACTTCCAGTTTTCTGAGTGGTTTATTGGAGATAAGAGTCTCTTGGACTTTCCTGACCAGGCTGGCTTTGAATCACAATCCTTAGATCTCAGCCTCCTGAGTAGCTCGGATTACAGGCATAAGCCACCAGTACCTGGCTAGTATACATATTTGTAAAGTTTCCTGTTTTTTAAGTGTTGACACCTCATATATTATGTACCTCCTGGAAATGCTAGAGAATGACAATCGTTGATGGTGCAAAAATGCTTTTCTGAGATGTTTTGTTGAGATGAAATTTTCTGTGTCCATGCACAAGATAGTGCTGTTGGATTGCCTTTCCTTTTATTTATTTTTTATGCAGGTACAGGGTCTGGGTTCTGTTCCTTAGCTTTTTCACTCAAAGCTAGCACTCTACCACTTTAGCCACAGATCTATTTCTAGCTTTATGTAATTGGAGAATAATTAAACATAAGAATTCAATGGAATTTCCTGCCCAAGCTTCTCTGACTGCTAAAGGGTTGGGAGTTATATTGTGTCATACCTAGTGCTTGAGAACACATAGCAGGTCCCCAGAATTCAGAAAAAATTAAGTGAGGCATTGACAATAATGGAAACAAAACAGAGCCAGCTCTACTTCCAGGCTGTATTGAAAGGAAGGAAAAACTGAGAATGAACTTCATCTAATAAGCAAGCCTGCCTATCTGTTATGTACTCTATGTCTCAATAGAATTGGCATTATTCATAATTAGCTTTTCAAAAGTTTTTCAAGGGTCTTTCCTTGCCTTAGGACTACCTTAATATCTTCAGATTCCATATATTTACATGTGACAATTACACAACAAGGCCTAGAGTACCATAGCCCTCAGATGCAGGACTGACAAAGTACAAGACTTGCTCAGGACAGTAGAAATGAGTGTTCTGAAGAAGTAGAGCCTCTTCAGCCCCTAATGCTTTTAACCTGTGACAGCTAGTTGTGTGGTTCTTTTGTTATTGTAAAGGTGATGTATAGAGGGGTTACAATTACATAAGTAAGGTAAGGAGTACATTTCTTTTCAGTGTTAGCCACCCTCATTTTCTCCCTCCTCTCCACTCCCCCCCCCACCTCAAGTTGTAAAATTCATCTCCAACATAGTATCTCGTGAGTATCACTATTGCAATGGTTCAGCCTTTGTTTTGTCTCACCATTTCTGTGATTCCCCTTCCCATCCCCAAATCAGATAAACTTACATACAATAAAAAGGGTATTGAAATAAAAAGTGACAAGGGGGGTAAACAAAAAAAAATAACTGCATAGAGTATACGAAGAAAAACAAAAACAAAAAACCTTCTTATTTCCGTATCTTGTAGTTAATTTTGATTCGGACCATTTTATAAGTTTAAATGTACATAGCTATTGAGTTATTGTGATCCCCTGCCAGAGCTATCAAACAAGGCCACACTAAAGTTACCAGCACAACTATGTTCACTGCACCATTATTTACCATAGTCAAGACATGGAATCAACCCAAATACCCCTCAGTGGATGAGTGGATCAAGAAAATATGGTATACATACACATGGGATTCTATCCTTCCATCAAAAATCACCCCATTCTCAGGAAATGGAAAGATTTGGAAAAAATCCTATTAAGTGAAGTAAGCCAGATCCAAAGAAACATAGGCTTCCTTGTTTCCCTTATTTGTAATACTTAGTATATTGTTTTATTTTGTTTCCACTACCTGATAGTGTATTCTCTTCCATGTAAATCTTGCTAACTTTGCTTAGTCAGTACATATTTTACTTTCCTTTTTGATATGTACATTGGATGTTGGAATCTCAGTCCAGTATTTTCTCACTTTTCAAGAAATACAACTCTATAATGCATATGAGATGACATGTCAGATTATTAGGGAAAGAAATATTGAAATTGAGAAATTCATCTTATTTTTAGTAATTCTTGATAAATGTTTACCTTACTAATCAAGACAGGCAATCTTATTGTTTTGCCTTTCATTACTAATAGGACATTTTAATTGCAGCACTCAGTATTAACTCCAGGGCCTTGCATTGTGCTACACAATTAATGTTACTGCTTGATCCATGTCTACAGGCCTTTTGTTTTGTCTTTTGATCTTACTAACATTGCTCAAACTTTTGATCTTCCTTCTCCTCTGCCTCCTGGGTAGCTGGCGTTATATTTGTGTGCTACCACACTTAGTTTGGTCTTTTGAATTAGAGAAACATTTGTAATGTACTAAGAATAAGCTCCCTTGAATAGTAGAGTGAATAGAATTTCTCAACAAAGAGTTTCTCAAAAGAAATTCATAGTTTAATCTATCTTTACCAAAACCTTCTTGGTTTTTGACTCTGTTGACTACTATATTACTTTATTTCTCATATTTATACAGATTGAGCATATGAAATATGCCTTTCATACCTTTAAGAGGTAATATTAACAACTGAACCTTGTGTATGTTATTATGCATAGTTATATTTTAGGTCTAATTTCCACATGTGAGAGAAAACTTGTGTTGTCTCTGAGCCTGGATTACTTCACTTAACATGATTTGTCCTAGGTTTGTCCATTTCCCTTCAAATCGCAAAATTCTTTCCAATGGATTGGCAAAATTCCATTGTGTTTATGTATATATATATTTTTTCTCCATTCTTTTGCTTTCGACCTATCCTTATCATTATATTTGAAGTTATTTATCCTACACAATCTATATTCAGATCACATCTCTCTTCTGGCAGTCTCTGTTTTTTAATTGGTATATTTTCAATTGCATAAAACATAATTATATTTTCAGCATTTTTAGGATTTATTTAGTTCTTCAATTCCTTTTTCCTTTATTCTATCTTTTAAATGATTTGACTTATTTTTATTTATTTTAATTTGTAATTATATTTGAGGTGTTTTGAGGACTTTTTCCCCATTTGTTCCCTCAATTCTTTTTTTTGTCTTTTAGATGATTTGACTTCTATTATTTAAATTTATTTATTTTATTATTAATTTTTTCTCTTTTTACATTTTCCCTAAATAACTCAGTGTTAATGTTTCCCCCAAATCTACTGAGAATCAATATTTGATCATTTCAAACAGAATATGAAGCCTTACTGTAATGTTAATTTATCATTATTTACCATTTGTGTCATAGTTATCATATCTATTACATGTTTGCACTGAAAATTAAATCACGGTAGTAATTTTTATTTTTAACTGTTAATGTAATTAAATCAAGACAATATGTTCCTATTTTATTGAGTAAGCTGTTTCTTGGTGTTGGTACTCTTTGTTTTCATCAATGCTATACTTCTCACTGGATATTACCAAGAAAAATATGGAACTATGCATAAGTTATCAGAATGATTTTTTTTCTAAGTTTTACATTTTCTAAGCAGTACCACAAATCAGACCAAAGTTTTTACTTGTGGGATTTAAAGTTGATTTGTATTTTATAGATATTATTTCCATGCCTCCTATCTTCTTTTGCTCTCTGCTAATGCTTGTAGGTATATTGCCAACACATACATGCACAATGCACGCGCGTGCACGCACACACACACACACACACACACACACACACACACACCGACTCATATATAATTTGATGGGAAACACACCTGTAGACATATCTTTGTATTAGAAAATTGAGTCAAGGGGCTGTGAAGGTGGCTCAGTGGTAGAGTGATTGCCTTACATGCATGAGGCCCTGGGTTCGATTCCTCAGCACCACATAAGCAAAAAGAAAAAAGCCGGAAGTGGCGCTGTGGCTTATGTGGTAGAGCACTATCCTTGAGCTGAAGAGCTGAGGGACAAAGCCCAGGCCCAGAGTTCAGGCCCCATGACTGGACCCCCCCACCTCAAAAAAAAAAAAGAAAATTGAGCCAAAATAATTTGTTTTGCAAGTTGTTTCAAATGTTCATTTGAGGATGTTTAGTATTTTAGTATAGAGGTTAAGCATATACTCTATTGACAGAGTATATTTTATGACAAATTTCATTGGCTGACTTAATTACAGTCAGAGCCCAAGATGCCAGTTGATAATACCATAATATGAGTCACACAAACACACTCAATCCTCTTCCCTGCTTGCTTCCTCTGGGCTATAGAAAGTAGAAAGGATCTGAATCCTGGTTTTATACCAGCAGCAATCATCTTCCACATATCTTAATCTCCCAAACTTTTGAGATGTACATCAACATCAAAAGCTTGCTCTTCTCTTTTCTCCTACATATCCCCTTATTTGTTTTCATGTTCTCTTGGTGTCAGCTACATGCTTGTATGGTCATTCAGAAAATCACTAGAATTCAGTATAAACAAGTTTGGTAAGAAGGCTTTTAAAAAGTTGATGGCTACCTTATTTTTAATATAAAGACTTTACCATTTACGATTTGCTTTGGAATTAGAATATTAGATTGGTCATTGAATTGGACTCGGGTCTTTATTAATTTTAATGAAATGACATCAAAATAATTGAGTATCTGTCTTTCCTTGGCTGTATAAATCAATAT